TTTTCATCAATAGAAAACAAAATATTAAATATATATCGGAACTGATAATAACATCTTTTTACCTTAGTGCTCCTCCATTCTTCATAGTTACAACTCCAACGTTCATTCGTTTGGCAAACTTAAATTTGTAGTGACTTTCATCATTTATTGTCTTTCCTTTTATATAGCCCCATTTGATGCATTGTGTGAAATCATTATTTGATGTTAGGGACGTTCTGTAAAGTGGCTTCACCAAGAACATTGTCTTTACTTTCCACAACACATGTCGTCTAGACTGATGCCTTATTGAGCAGATAAATATGTAATCCTTTACTCCCAAATGAAAATCGCAATCCATTTTTAGAGGAACAAGTATCGATCGCAATGTTTCCTCACACGTTAGGATTGGTACGTCCAATATGGCTGCCTTAGTAAAATAAGTAAAAAGAAATATCAAGAAACAATATGTATAACTAGATATTACGATCATTTTTCCAAAAATAGTTACGTCAATATTAACTGTAATTTCACGCATCCAGAAATGATCTTCAGTGGTACAAATTACACAGATATCACAAATCACTTCTAACGAGTTTTCCTTCAAGAAGACGATAACTACATACACGCTTTATGCAAAAAGATGTCTTGCACTCTTACGAACACTGAACGTTAACTGAATCTTTATCTCGATACAACCGCAAAATAATATCACTGCCCTCGCGGAAAGGGAAGCGTCATATCCGACATGTCCAACATGATACGCGATTTCTTTCCTGTTTCACACATGCTGTTGGACAGTAGACCTGCATAATGCACCCCGTGAGTTGAGATAGTAAATGGAGAAAAGCCGGCGACATTAGACAAACCTGCAACGCTATTTACATTAAGCTTGGAATATCAACATTGTCTTAATTTACGAATTATATTTTTTGTGGAAACTGGCTTACTTAAGGGTCATGAAATACAGATATTTATAATTATTAAGTGAGTTATAATTATAACTCACGCCGTAGGAGTCATTCAACGAGTGAGAGTAGCAACGTCTCAATAAAATAAATCCACGTACATTATTTTACAACTTTCAGCCAGATGAAATTAAACAATTAAGAGCGATACACAAGTTAAAGTGCCAAGTTAGAGTGCGTGTTTGAATACCATTAGAGAATATTCCCCCCATTAAAAATGAAACTTATTTATTTTAATAATGCTATTTAGTGCACTAGATAACATTTGTACTGCATTGATTAAATATATTCTTATAGACCCCACCTCCATAAGATTTTGTCCTTTTGCCTTTGGTCCACTGAACTAATGCTGACATGGCCTACTGTTTTACATATTGACATAATTGTAACTTCACCATCTGCTCATGATTTATTGCTCTTGAGGGTTTATTGAGAAATTTAGTATTTTTGTCAGCAGTAATAACAAAAAATTGTTTCTTATGTTTTGTGGAAGTGAGTCGATTCCTTCATGTGGAGCAAAATAAGGTATAGGAGCCAAAATCTATAGCTCATTTGCCAATTCAAAGGTTCTCTTATGCGAGAGCCAATATTTATTGTTAACAATGTTTTCCAAAAACGCGGTCCTATGTTCGAGTCTCGACAGTTTCTGTTACTAGCTACAGAGCTAGGTCACGTCCAGCCGCTGTCTGGAGAATTATAGAACCTGTAATCATTATTAGTTTCCCGTGGTGTCTCCGATCAGTATTAGGTGAATACCGGAGCAGTACACTAAGAACCAGGCCATGGATCGCGCGCGCTCTTTCCTGTCTCTTTCTTATACACACTTATATTGTAACGTCGTGTGTAGGGATCTACACCACAAGGAAACAGACACGAGTGAGTATATACAAGTTTATTTAACATACTGTTACATATTTACAACCCTCACTCTAAGCGGTTTGCCAGAGCTACCACTGCAGCCCTCTCTCCTACATGCGCCTTGCGCGAGCCTCTACGACAGCAGCAAGGCCGCGTCGTAGATTGGCACCTGGTGTGCCCCGCAGATTGACGATTGTGCCCGAATGTGTTTTGAAGAACACATCACCCTGTCCGAACTCGTCGAACAACCACGTGCCCTCGGCACTCCGCACCAGCCTGGCGGACACAAAGTTTTTGTGGTCTAGCCACGAGGAAACCGAAACGTTACCCACTCGCGCCGTCTCGCCACGGGTCTTATAGTCCAGTCACCTGACCTCTACGTCACTACTCCCACCGCGCGCGGTGGAAAGCCTTTCCCTGCGCTGCCTGTCCGCGGACCATTTCTGTCGGAAGGTCCTTCTTTGTTCCAGTCCTTTTAGATCCCCCAGCCCTCTACCTTGCACTCGGCTGCTGCCAAGCCGTGACGCTACAATATGCACTGCACTACCACACATGCCGGGAGACCGGTCGGGAGGGTAAAGCGTGGGAGTTCCCTGGTCGGGGAAACCCCGTTATCTGACGGTGGGGCGGCACCAGACATCACCATTCACGGGGGAAAGATCGCCGCCACCTTCCGAGGAGAAACATGTACAACACTTACGGGACTAACAGCCGCGCTGTAATTAGCAATTGACGCGTCTGGAATTCCGAATCAATCAATCCATCCAAAACTGCTACCTGACTCCTTTATCCACAATTCAGCTTAATGTACTAAAAGTGTAACTTCACTATGCACTCGTTTTGTTGAACTCTCCTTTTGCTTGTAGTGGTAGAAGTAGAGATAAGGGCGAGTTGCTATATTGTTAGCAATGCAGAAAAATCAAACCTGCAGTTGCTATTGCAAACCGTTGCAAATACGACTTCTATAACTCGGAAACGAAAATGTCTAGTTTTTCAAATGTTGCTAACCTCATGTTTTTTAAATTTTATTTTTATTTATTTATTTTTAAATTTTACTCATCTTTCAACTATTTATAGTAAAAAAATGGGAAGGGATTCTGAAACTCAAGAAAACGTGCGCATATGATCTTCCCCCCATACGTCACAGCTAGTTTTTACTGTTTGTTTTTTGACTAAATAAATCTAAATCTAAATCTTCGATCAAAGGACTTGCCAGTCAATACATCCAAAGGAATCACCAATCAATCAATCCATCCAAAATAGCTTCTTGTCTCCTGTTGGCACATTGACTGCCAAAGTACTTCAAATTTGGCGCTTTGTTTTTTAATAGGTCACTTTTGATGTTCTTTGAGGGCGTTTTAGAGGAAAGGATCATACATTCAAACTTGGAGCTTTGGAGATTTTACTTAAAAAAGCCGCGCGAATTTCTTCCCTGTTGACCAAATACTCACTTATTTCGTACAAAGTTCCTTGACGTAGATTTTCAACTGCTTCCTGTTAGTTCGGAGCGTTACTGAAAGATCGCATCAGCTCCTGGGTAGTTCCTCGTTTGAACCATGGTTATCATTGTCAGAATTCTGAGAATGCCCAGATTTCCAGTTTAAAGCCACAAACTAACATTATCATCCGAGGCGAAGTGCAGAAAGATTAGTAAAAACGCTTCGTTAGTGTTGGACGCTTTCAAGGTTTGATTCAGGGTATGTCAGGCACTTGGATGCAGTCGTAACATGAAGTAAAAACGACGAAATTTGTAAAGAAACGTTTTATTTCGTCTGGAGAGAGGTAACTGTGACAAACTCTTCAATACTCGTTAATTCTTTCTCCAAGTAACAATCCTTGTCAGTTGTGTGTCGTCTCTTTTCCAGAACACTCTTGTCTGAAAAAAACTACTGATGGAAGAGGCGATGTTTCGTTGCAGCTTCTACTAATTGCTCTCCCAACTTATTCTACTAGTATTTCTCAGCCCCAACATCTCCTTTATTCACAATTCATCTTAATGTACTAAAAGTGTAACTTCACTATGGACTCATTCTGTTGAACTCTCGTTTTGCCAGTTATGCTAGGAGTAGAGCTGGGGAATGTTGGTTTATATTTTCTAAGAAATAGTGTATTAACATGTAGTTTGATTACCGATGGAAATAAGGTTTCTATAACTCAGGAGCGAAAATTTCAAGTTTAGAAATGTAGTTAACTGCGCTTCGTTGGGACATTTATTCATCATTCAACCATGTCTAGTAAAAGGTTGAAGGTATGAATTCTGGAGCTCATGGAAAGGCCTGCAGATTGTATTTCTCCGTTTGTCAATTACAATTTTTATTTTGTATGGAACGTTTTGACGAAAATAAGTAAAATTAAATTAAATCACATTTCACCTGTTGTTTTTATTAAAATTTAAATGCATTTTAAACGAATTATTAGGAACATAATTAAAAATTAATTCTTAAGAATATAGTCCAGATAAAAAAATTAGTTAAGATAATTAAGACAAATATTTCATTGTGTATATAATGAAATGTCTACTATTCATTGATTCTTGCACTTTTATCATCAAGAAAATCTAAAAATCATTTTATTCAGGTATTATGATTGGCTGTATTAATTTAATTAATATTGTGTAATTCTTATGAACGTACGAAATGAAAAAATATATGTTTGCTTTCAAATGCCACTAAATTCTGCTACGCCTACTACGCACATATCCTATTCTACATATAAAGATGGTAAAAAATGCATTAAAATTTACGATGAACAACATAATCAAACATAATAGAGCATATTAGTTGAAATAGAAACAAACAAACCATAGATTAAGATCTCATGAAACATTTGTTCAAGCATTATGAACATTGCATTCAATGGTTCTGTTTTAAAGTTCTAAATAAAGGTAATACGCTTCTAACCTTTTCGTTTGGGCACAATTTACTATTGCTTACCCTATTGAGTGTCTACTACATTAAGACAGCATTTTAATGGATGGCGCTTGGACTTGAATCGTAGGTGTCGCTGACAGCGTCTCTTCTTTTTCAAAGACAACCGTCGGAAACCTGATATTCCACGTCACGTTTGAATAAATATGTTTGATTGAACGAAATTTGGCCTCCTATTCTCAGCGAAAAGGATTAATGTATTGTCAAGAATGCAATTCAGATGTGATGAAACTACGAATTTGGTTACATAATGCCGAGAGGTAGTTCTCCATCATCCGCTGTGGAGGCGGAGGGCCCGGGTTCTTCCCCGGTTGGAGGGTCCGCGAGGAGGGTCTGGCGGAGGCTGGGCCCCAGCACCGCGCGCAGCTCTGCGGCCGCCGCCATCACCGCCGGCGCCGTCTCGGGCCGCGGCCAGCGCACCACCGGACGCGTGTCCAGCAGGAAGCGCAGCAGGCGCGGCAGGCGCCGGCGCTCCAGCGGCTCCAGCTCCAGCAGCACCAGGAACTCGCGGTCCTCGCTGAACAGCTTGTGCTGTGCCATCTCCAGCTCCCACTGGCACCACTGCAACCACCAGCGTCACAACAAGCTCTCCATAACGCCTTAGGCGTTGTTATCTGCGACATGGAACAGACTGACCTTGCTATCGATGAAGTGTTGAGTGAGGACGACGATGACCTTCCTGCTGTGCTCGATGGCGTCGACGATGTTGGTGACAATGTGGGTACCCAATCGGAAGTCTCTGTCGAAGAGGCACAAAGAGTAGTACTCTGGTCGGCGCTCCATGAGTGGCACGAGGCGACGGTTCACCCACTTCCGGTTCTTCCCACTGTAGTAAATAAGATCATAAGAAGCTTTCTCGGCATACGGTTCTCTTAACATTTCACTTGATTAAATTATCACATGATATATATTCAGCAGTAATGTCTCAAATATTTTCGTGGGAACACGGTGAAGTACGATACATTTTTGGAGTAATCAGAGGCGAATGTTCAATGGATTGTGTGTGTGGCCGGGGGGGGGGTCGCATCCATACGTTTTTCAACTCCATTGAAATTAAAAATGATGGATGTTGAAAGAGGTATTGCAGAGCAAAGAGGTGGGAGCGGGATCTTGGGTTAGAAATTGCTTGTGTTTATAATTACAATGACCAGTTCTTATTATGATATTATCATTTGTTCTTTTTCAGAAAAGTCTTAGCAAGTTTTCAAGGAGGATATTTTACAGTTTTTTGTGCAAATTGCTAGATTTCAAAGTTCTTCAGTGTTTGTTCCATCTCTTCTACGTTCCCTTTGAGTAGATACGGTCTATAATGCGGTCTATAAGTACGATCTATAGCACATATAGATCGGTCTATATGTGCGAAGATGCTAACTACCTATTTCTGGAGTTGTCATCTCTTCTCAAGTCATTATATCATTTTCAGGCATCACTTTATAATTTTGGAGCCAGGCATTACTACGTCTTGTTAGATTATATGTCCCAGTACAGTTCATGAATGTTGTCTACCACTGTTGCACTCGAACCACCATTCCTGATATTATTAATTGCTTCAGTAGATATGGAGAAGACAACGATTTTTCTGCCGTTAAAATTCTTTGCAACTTTAAAATCTGTTAATATGAAGCAAAGTTCCGCGGAAGTGAGGCAGTCTATTTTTTAAATGTATTTGCTTTCAGATGTACAGCCTCTTTCGCAACGGGTTTGAATACATTAGATGCAGAGTTAATGAGTTGAGTTACATTTTAAATCCATTATTTCTTTAGGATTATTTCGAGGAGTTATCTGTGCGATGGGTTTAGGGTGGGCTTAAAAAAAGTATGGGTAGTTTCCTGCGGATGCGTATCTGTTTGGTGTTTGTTTCCTTAATTGGAAGTGGAGTGCTAATGGGATTGAAGAAACTTTGTAGTAAAATTTGAGAGCGGATGGGGAGTAGTATGCCGAGCTCTTGATGAAGGAGATCATTGTGTATGAACCAAGGTGCTTTGGTCATGGTACTTAGGAAACGATTTTGAAATGTCTAATGTCTAAGAATATGCGATTTGACTGCTGAGCCCCAAATAGAACGTATGTTAGCATTAGTCTGATCATAAAGATGGATACCGGTTTGAATTTGGAGGGGAGAAGATCGACGTAGTATTCGGAGGAATTTCCTGCGATATATCTAAATAAGAAAGCCACATCGTATCATCACTGTTGAGCAGATGATCTGTCGCGCGGCGTATCAGACTCAAAACTTCAAATACAGACCCATAAAACGGTATTTGTTTCATCGCCTTATATCAATGGAATAGGAGATACAGATCTTTGAACAATAAAATTTATCTCGTTCACCCCAGTTTATCTTACGTGAAAGAATCAAGAATATCTTATGGTATTTTAACAGCAAAAAACAATTTAAAAATAATAATAACGTAGCGACGGCGGTGGTTGCGGCCGGTGGTGCGTATTGATGCCGGCACACCTCATTGACAAAGCAACAATGAACGCTGGATTCGTTTGGCACTTTCTTTTCACCATACAGCAAATCAAGCAGCACCAAATAGTTTTTATGTGTGAAAAACATTTTAAGATAAATTAATTGGAGAAATTACTGTTTGTGAAAAACAGTACAACTATCACAAATTATGATTTTTTTTAATATTTTTAATGGAAAACTTTCTATACTATGATGCCCATATGGTGAAAGGAGCCAAATTGTCTAGTTTTTTTAAAAAACGTATTGAAAAAATTGTATTTAAAGACTAATAAATTTTAATAAGCTTTTTTTCGATCCTGAAAAATACCTTTTAGCACATATATACGTCTCAGAAACGCTCCTCATTAACAATACATGCACGCACACATATATTACACATTGTGCAAAGGTAATATTCTCTTACCTGTAGCATACGAATGCGTCGAAGCAGGCATTTGTTTCAGTCTGTGTTTTTCTTGTCGCCTTTGCCCGAATTTTCGCAAGGTGCGCCAAATACACCACTTCCGTTCGATAGTAGAAAATGGCACCCCCGATGGCAATGAAGGCAATCACACCAGCAATGGGTGCACCAATCCCCAACCACAGGTAGCGACGAGGGATGAAGCATACTTCAGCGAAGTTCACATCCTGTATTGGTCGACCTTTAAGCTCCGGAGGTTGGTAGCAAGTCAGTGGTGTGCTTTGACCCACGTTTTTTACTCTTGGTTTGGGGTTAACTAACCACTGTTGCAAGAGGGATGTTTTGCATTCGCCACAGTTAACCATGTTTCCTCCAAGATCTACTTCTTTTAAAACGGACAGGGAAGCTAGCATTGCTGGAGAAAATTCTGTGATAGAATTGTGCGATAGATTTACTCGAAAAACCCAAGGGCTCGGGTTTGAGAATGCAGCAATCTGTGGTTTTTCCTCCCTTGTTTCTGTCGTAAATATATTTGTATTGTCCCACCCCGAAATTCTGTTGTTCGATAAGTCTAAATAACTAACAATATAGACTTGATTTCCTAAATTTATTACATTTTTTATTAAGTTTTGGGACAAGTCAATCACATTATAAGAATTGTATGAAAACATTGGCCAACTATTAATTTTATTTCCTTTCAGGAAAACTTCACTTAAATCTCGGAGAGGAAGCAGGATTTTAGAGGGGAGTTGAATAAATGAATTATATGATAGGTCTAGTATCCTTAGAAATGGAACATCAATAAATACACTGGCCGACAGGGACGACAATAAATTTTCGCTTAAATACAATTCTACTAACCCCGATTTAAGTCTGAAATCTTGTGAACCTTGATGGTTGAAGCGATGCTTGACTGCACTGATCTTCCTCATCTTGCATCGATTTAGTCTGAGCTCACTCACAACAGGAAAATCAGACATTGTGCATTGTTCGATAAGACTTCCTGATAATGACAGATAAGTCAAATGCTCCAGTCCATTCAACGCTTCTGTCGAGAGAGAGAAGTTTTTCATAGTTGATTCAAATGTCACTTTTACTAAATCTCTCATTTCCCCAATAAATTTCGGTATTTTCTCGAACTTGTTTTTTAAAAGTTTCAGATTTCGTATGTTCATAGTATTCGTAAAATTCTCTAGAAACAAAGAAATTCAGTGAAACAAATTAAAAGGGATCTGATAATAAAGACATAAGTAAATAAACAAGTACATATCTTTGTAGGTACACTCAAACCACTTTTCACTCAGCTCCCTTTTTTGAACTAGATTCGGATCACCTGCCTACGATCATCTCAACTCAACAAATTACGCCCCCACACACTCCAACTCTCACACTTAACACACAAAACATCAACTGGAAAAAATTTAAGAACATAATTCAAAAAAAAAGTAACTATTGTATGCTCTTTTTTTTTGAAATGCCGTGTGTATGGTGTGCCGTGATTCTAATAATTGATGAAGTTGAAAACTTTATTATGAAGCCAAATTCGTGCATGGATTTTGAGTTTTATTCAGATGGAATTATAGTCTTTAAGGATAGTTTTCTAAGGTTTAGATGGCTAATGGGTCTGTAGTTTTCAGTTCTGGAACGATTTTTGAAAGGCTTGGGGATGGGTATTACATTGAATTTTCCCAAATAAGGGGATGTAACAGTCTAATTATTGAATTGTAAATATCGTGATATATCTATTGTGGGTTTAGGTAGTTTTTTAAGATTTGTTTACTTATTTTGTTCGTGTCCAGGGGCTTTTTTATTGGCAAATGGCTCTTAATTATAATCGATTCATTTGGGAATGATAGGTTTGATTTTGTGTGGTACGTTATAGTTGGGGGCTGATCTATATTCGAGTATGTTTTGATTGCGTGGGTGAGTTGGGTCGATTGGGAGATAAATATTGTTAAGCAAATGATCGGTAATGCTTCGACCATTCATAATGAAGCAGATTTCTTTTTTTTTTTTTTTTTTTTTTGGCCCGTTGGAGTTGGATAATGGGTATTATCTGTTTCTTGTCAAGATATTTTGTAATTCCAAAACTGTTTTTTATTTTGCTGAGGGATGGATTAAGTTATTGTAGTTTTATGCTTTTTTACGAATGGTTGGACAGTAAAATTTAACCTGTTCTTAAGCTGTGGTTTCTATGAATGCCCAACAAGTCTCTTGTTTGGTTTCTAGGTTAATATTGTGAGAATGTTTTCTAAGTTTTTATGAAATGTTTTAGCTGTGGCGGGGCTGACATTATTATTAAGAATGTGATTGTGTAATTATCATTTGTTTAAGAAGCTATAGCTTGTCTATTTCTACGGATTTTAATATTTATGTCGATTG